TAACACTAATTTACAATCACATGATGTGTACACCCTTAGGCTCTTCTCAGTAACACTAATTTACAAGCACATGATGTGTACACCCTTAGGCTCTTCTCAGTAACACTAATTTACAATCACGACGACGTGTACACCCTTAGGCTCTTCTCAGTAACACTAATTTACAATCATAACGATGTGTACACCCTTAGGCACTTCTCACTAACACTAATCTACAATCACGACGATGTGTACACCCTTAGGCACTTCTCAGCAACACTAATTTACAATCACAATGATGTGTACACCCTTGAGCACTTCTCAGCAACACTAATTTACAATCACGATGATGTGTACACCCTTAAGCACTTCTCAGTAACATTAATTTACAATCACGATGATGTGTACACCCTTAGGCACTTCTCAGTAACACTAATTTACAATTACGATGATGTGTACTCCCTTGATGAAACTATGGTTCATATTATACAGCTTGTAGATGCATATTTTTTGAAATACTATGTAAGTGCAGGTACAGTTTTGAAACATTTGTATACTAAGTATATTTATGAAAAGTGTAGGAAATTTGCTTTGTAGAAACCACTAAAGTATTAGTTTTAAACATTTGATTCACTTCATGGTCTAACTTTAAGGTTTCAAGATAGAGTACGCTTAATACTTTTTACTATAATTTGAAATCAATGTACGGAGATTGCAAACCAACAAAATAAATGTTTAAACCAGATCTGTCATCTGAATATCTAACTTGCTTTGTTTACAATGAAGTTGAAATGGTGTCTCAACCACAAACAAGTGATACCACTTTACCTGATAAAAGAAAACATCTTTTCTGTCACTTCCTTCTGTAGCATAATCTTCTAAGACTCCCTCTGAAAATGTAAGAAAATCCAGCAATATATTACAACTTTGTACAGCTCACTTAATGTATTAATATGCAAATATTAATGTTAATGTTTAAACTGTAAATTAGCAGTTTATATCTGAAAAAAAAATCATCTTTTAAACATGATCAATTATAAAAAATTACAACTTACTGCAATAAATTTTGTTATGAAGAATTAATTTACTTAATAATAAATACCTCAGTTTTTATAACAATCCTTAACCTTACTGATCGATTGGTCATGCAACAACCTTTAGTATATTATTGAAATTGTTTAAAGGGTAAAATCCAATAAACCTTATGAATATGTTTAATATTTTTCCAATTTATACTCAAAGTCACTAAATAACATCAATAAAATTCAGCAGTTTTAATACAACTGTCTTTTAAAACCAAGGAACGGCATTAATTGTATTTTCACCTTGTTACGGGTTTCATTTTACGTGTATATATATTTTCATGTCCAACAATTTAGGATTAAGAGTAACTTAACCCTTAATTATTGTACTAGAAGGTATCATGTTAAATGGAGGGCAGTTTGAAAAAAAAATGATAATTTGGAAATATATATAAAATTATCATGTGAGAATAATCAATAAGTAAATTCTTTGAATCACCCAGCTCAAACTAAGACAGGTTAATACTACTTCTGATGTAAAGATCCAGGACTTGGTTCTTGTAATATTATTTTTAAAGAACATACAAACTTAGATGTTGTAATATTACAAGAACCAAGTACTGGATCTTTACATCAGAAGTTTTTAAAGAACATACAAACTTAGGTGTTGATTCACTTACCAGGACTTATTCCATGCTCTGCACATAACTTCTTCCAAAATTCAAACCCAACTACAAGTTAAAAACACAGATAATTAAAACTAAAAAACCATATATACAAAAAAACAATTAACTGATTCTAGACCAATACATTTTTAGATAATAACATTTCTCATTAGGTTTAGTGAAATCTCTTGATTGGTTACCCAAACAGATCAAAACAAAACAGTAATAAAGTTATTTACAAATGTTCAGATATTATCCAGGACACTACGATTCAGAGTATATACATACCACACAAATATTACTCTAACATATTCTAACACATTTAATATATTATTAGTTTTTTAAAAATATAATTTACTTTTTACTAGTAACATATCTGCTGGTTGGTATACATTTGTCAATTAATGTGTTGTTATTATGCAATTGTGAATGGAAATTATAAATGCTTAATGAAGTATTTCTTTAAGTCTGTTTTTTTCCCAACTTTTATGAACTTGTTGCATAAATACAAATTTTCAATGTTAAATTGTCAAAAACACATTACAATATATTTAAAAGAACAAGATGTCACAAAGGAAATTTGGGTTTCAGAGCAGTTTAGTCACTGTCCTTAAAAGGGGGATAAAGAAATAACTGAGATTATGTAAACAGATCTTAATATAAATATAATGTTAAAGAAAATAAATTTTAAAATGCATAAAAAATAAGACATTATGAAACTTTTTGACCCTGTACTTTTCAGAACTGTTCATTTACATTCTTCACTTGATTAACCTTACATAATTTGTGGTTACATTAAACTCGCACAGCTTGTGGTTACAATAAACTCGCACAGCTTGTGGTTACAATAAACTCGCACAGCTTGTGGTTACAATAAACTCGCACAGCTTGTGGTTACAATAAACTCGCACAGCTTGTG